AATTTCTTTTTTATGATATTTTAATTAGCGACGTGAATCCCATGTCCCAACTTTTTTTAACACAAAAAAAAACTGACACACTTAATGCTTCTTTATTATATTAGTAAAACACGTTGCCACGTGATTTTCACGTCGCAACTGGCTTTATTTAGCCACATGAAAATCACGTGGCAAAATCACGTGGCTGGATAAGCATTTTCTTGTAGTGTATGAATAAATAACACAAATAAATATTTATGAATAAAATCATAAACAAACCTTAATACAAACAACAAATTACTTCAAAAAACAACCAAATACCTCAACAATAACTTAAACAATTTACTTATCTCATTAAATTAAACATATAATCTCATGTTAACAACAATAAAAGAATAAACCCTATGTTGGACAAAGGAAAATGTTATACATAGCTTTTGAAAAGTAAAAAACAAGATGAATAAGACTAATATTTTGAAATACAACAACAAGATGTCATAACTCATAAAATGTTTCACGTACGTACCTTTATTGAAAAGATTCGTGGAAAATGAAAACAAAGATATGAGTTAGCTACTTGTTTCATGACACTTTTCCTTGATTCATACTAGTTTAAAAAGTTATGTTGGAGTTTTATAAAGTTAGGATGAATTTTTGAAAGATTGGAATAAGGAGATTAGAATAAGGAGATTGGAATAAGTTAGCTTATATAGGTAATATATTTCAGAGGTTGTTAAAAATAACATTGGTGATTTGTCTTGATATTTCAAAAGTGTTGTTAATTTTGACTGTGGTGACAAGTTTTTTATTTTGCCCTTTTAATAACGAAGAAGCACGAAAATTGCATGTGTTGGGTTTTGAAGCGTGTCACTCTTAACATATCATAATGGTTTTCAATTGTAACTGTGATTATATATAATTTAAAAAAGGGACATCTTTAATTAGAAGTGCACACGCTTATTATCAACATGGGCTCTCTTCTCTCTCTCTCTCTCTTAGTTTTTCCACTGTCTTTCATTAATCTTGCCTGGTTCTGCCTGGTTTTTCACGGTGAAGATGGATTGGAAGGAATTTAATAGGAAGAAGTTCAAAAATATTATTGCTCGTTGGGATGTATTTTCGTTGGGGAGAAGGGCAAATAAAGAAGGTGATTTGAAGATTTCCTCCATCTTTTTTTCCGAGATTCCAGATAGGATTAAATCATATGATATCTTCAACCTTTTTGGTTGTATGGGTGAGGTGGTGGAGGTGGTGATTCCATCTAGAAGAAATAAGTTGGGAAAGAGATATGGATTTTCTAGATTCAAAGAGGTGGAAGACATTAGGTTTTTAGCAATCAAGTTAGATACTATTCTTATAGATGTGAGAAAAATTCATGCCAACCTTCCTAGGTTCAGCAAAAGTGGGGGAACCGACTACCCAGAGAAGAGAGGAAGAAATTTTGGAGGCTTTCATTCTGTTCCAAAGGTCATTCCAGAGAATAGCGCAAGAGTTTTCAGGGGAGTTGTGGGTTCTAAATCTTATGTAGAGGCGACAATAAATAATTGTACGAAGGTCCTTCATGAGGCGAATCCTACTTTTGCCTATTCTTCCAAAAAGATTGATAAGGAGAGGTTGGCGAAGGCATATATCGAGGATGTTGTACCCCAAAATTTTCCCTCCCATTTTCTTTAAGACATTTTTCTAAGGTTCTCAAATGCTCAAAGATTCTCAAGAGTTGATAAGACAAACTCATCTCCAAAGCAAGGATCCTCAATTAGGGTTCGGTGTTTCTCCAAGAATTTTTGCTCTGGTTATGAAGATGCAATCTATTCGAGTGGTTCTTGGGCTAGCCGGTAGTCTTGATTTAGAAGTAGAGCAAATGGACGTGAAGACAACTTTCCTTCATGGTGATCTACATGAAAAAATTTACATGGAGCAACTAGATGGATTCTGAGAGAAAGGCAAAGAAGCTATGTTTTGAAAATTAGTAATAAGTCTTTATGGTTTGAAAGAAGCACCTCGCCAATGGTATCAAAAGTTCAACTTGGTGATGATTGAACATGGATATAAGATGACTAAGGTCGATCATTGTGTATTTTTCTGGAATTTCTCTAAAGGTGATGTCATTATTCTCTTGCTTTATGTAGATGATATGCTAATTGTTGGAAAGAATATTTCAAGAATTAAAGAGTTGAAGAACACTTTGAGTGAATCTTTTGCTACGAAGGATTTAGGAGAGGCTCGGAAAATTTTTGGTATTGAAATTGGTCGAGATGGAAATGAGAACAAGTTGTACTTGTCACAGGAAAAGTATGTTTAGAAAGTCCTTCGGCATTTTAGTATAGATAAGGCTAAAGCGGTGAGAATTTCACTTACTTCTCATTTTAAGCTTAGTCATAAACTATGTCCATATACGGATGAAGAAAACTTGAGTATGAAGAATATTCTGTACTTTTCGGTTGTTGTTAGTTTGATGTATGCTATGGTTTGTACAAGACCTAATAATGCTCATGTCATAGGAATGGTGAGTCGTTATCTCTCAAATCTAGGAAAAGATCATTGGGAGGCAGTGAAGTGGGTGATGAGATATTTGTGTGGTACTTCAAATTTGAGACTAACTTTGAGGATGTAAGAAGCCTATGTTGGTTGGATATACAGATTCAAATTTGGCTGGAAGCTTAGATGATCGAAAATCCACTTCAGGATATATGGGAACTTTTGTCGGGGGAGTCGTGGCTTGACAATCAAAGTTGTAAAAGTGTATTGCACTCTCTACTACCGAAGTCGAGTTTATAGCCGTCGTAGAAGCTTCAAAAGAGTTGTTATGGTTGAGGAAATTTGTGATAGAACTTGTTTTGAAATAAGAAAAGTATGTATTATTTTGTGATAATCAAAGTGTCATTCACTTATCGAAGAATTCCTCCTTTCACTCAAGGTTGAAGCATATTGATGTTCGTTATCTTTGGATTCTTTATGAATTAGATTCCAAGTTGATGGAGATTGAGAAGATTCACACTAATGAAAATGGTTCAGATATGTTGATGAAGGTGTTTCCTAGAAGAAAGTTTGAGTTTTGTCGCATGGTAGCCAAATTGGTGTTGCCCTCCAACTAGTCCGTCGGAGGAGTTTGTTGGGCTATCCCTTCTATTTGGAGAGACCCAAATGGATGTGGGTTAGTGGCTCATGTGTGTCTGTGCCTTTGTTATTACCCAACAAAGAGAATTATGTTATTCATTTATTGTGTGAGAAAAACAACAAGAATACCTAGAGAGAAAACCCTATTCCCGCAGCCCCAATTCTACACAAATCAGTCCAAAAAAATTGGAGCCTGCACAAAATCCAGCGGTCGGATCAATTCTTAAATTTGACATAACGTTCATGACTCATAGGAGCACATTCTGAATGATTTTGATTGCATTCAGAGCTTTCTAAGTCTGTCTGTCGAGTCCATCTTTGAGGTCTGAATTTCTTGGTGTTTTGGGGTTGCTTTGTCTCTCTTGATTATTGTTGTATTCCAAGATTGATTGTAAATCTTAATGATGTTTATGTATGCCTCTAACTAGTGCTAGAGAGAACCTTCTTGTACTCATTATTGATTATAATGGAGATTTTAAATGGCCTATGGGTCCCATGGTTTTTTACTCCTAATTAACGAAAAATTTCCGACGCTAAAATTGTTTGTGTTGTTTTATGTGTTTTGTTAATTGTCATTGTATTTGATATCTAGGAGAAATTGTGTTATTGATTTATTCCGTTGCGTTTGTGGATTTCCTCCTAACAGTTTTAGACCTAAAATGTTGCTACGACAGCATCACTGATGCAAAATTCTCAAAATTTATATGAAAGTACTAATCATAAAAAATATTCATTATAAATATCTATATTTATATCTATATCTATATAATATATTAAATTCAACACATCAAATATTATAACAACACATCATCAAGTATAACTCTAAATTTATCACATCATTCTATAGTTCTATATGGCACATCCCAAAACTCATTTTCATCTTATACTTTTACAAATTGGAGGTCATTGGTTCAAACCCTCGAATTTTTTAAACAAATTGATCTAACAAATCAATCATTAATCCAACTACGCATATTTCCTTAAATTAAAATATTCTTTCATATTTCAAATATAAAAGAGATACGAAAATTCAAATACAATAAAATATTTTTCATTTTTCTGAAATTATAGCAATAACTGTAACACTTGAAATATATATATATATATATATATATATATATATATATATATATATATATATATATATATATATATATATATATATATATATATATATATATATATATATATATATATATATATATAACAAATTAAAGTAAAATATCTAAATAAAAGATAAGTGTAAAAAAACATGAGAATAAAAACAAAACAAAAAATCACTTTATAAATATGTAAGTTTGCAAACCTAAATTACGGATATTACTCTCAATTTACACGCATGTATTTTTTTCCAAATGAAATATATATTTATTTATATGATTAATTTTTATTATTATCTCTATTATAATTAAAAAAAAAAGTTTATAATATAAATTTAATAATTATATTTTATCAAAACCAACTCTTAATATATTTAAAATTCAATAAAAAATAAATAAATAAATTTAAAACCGCACTATCCCACAGATCTTAATCTAATTAATATATCAATTGTAACAACGGAAATAAAAAAAACAATTAATCATGATAAGAGCAAATGATCATCCCACACATAATTAAGACTATGTCATTTTAAAAACTACTAATCCTCGTGCGCAACATATTTTGAATTTAATTACATTGGACATTCTAAAGCTTTTTCATTTTTACAGTTGAATTGAAAGATATTCAAATCTTTCTGTTGCTATGCATGGTATTATGGTAACCATATTATTATTCTCACTCAAACTTCCTCTTTAGTGACATAGGGGAACAATCAGAGAAAATAGTTTTCAAACAAACTAGCCTCACTAGAAGCATGGCCTAGAAAAACAAGATCATGTTCATGGTTGTTTTTAACTAAATCAGACCATGACTAAATGCCGTCTAGCATCAGTTCTTAGATCTTCCTTCATTTTTCTAATGAAATCTTCGAACTTTTTGTTTAACTCTTCTGTACTTAACATACTACTTTCTTCTTCTTCCTCTTGTTCTATATTGTTTTCTTCAATTAGAACATAATCAATTTCTGACCCTTTATCTCCCTCTTCGTCTTCTCCATCATATCGTTTAACTTCTTCTTCTACCTCCTTCATCTCTTCTTTGTCTTCTTCTTCATCATCATCAATCGTAATTATCTTTTCAATGTTTTCTTCTTCTTCTTCAGCACTTTGTTCATCTGGTTCACTAGTTCTCTTCTCAACTTCTCTCTCCAACACTGGCTCATTGACCTCAACATCAAGGATATGAGATTGCGAACCTTCTTCTTCTTCTTCAACTTCAATATATTGTGAGTTATTGGAAGGCTTATCATCATCATCATCTGTTGAAGAACTTGAGAAAGATTTGGTTAAACCGACAAAAACAAGGAGAGCATTAGAAAGGAGAAACATGCTGTTCTTGTCTATGTTGTGAGTGTAGAGTTGAAAAAGTAAAGTAGAGAAATAGAAGTTGAAGTTTTGGAGGAAAACAAAGAATGAAGAAGGTGAAAATATGAAAGAAAACACTGATATTGAAATGATTAATTGTGTAAATTTTATTACATTGGAATTAGCTTTCATCCCCTGAGTTAGTGTTTCTATGATTTGGCATTTGAGTTGACAAGTAGTGTTCATGGTGCTCACTCTATTGAAGATATGAAAAGAAACTATAGAGATTAATTGGTAAATGAAGGTTATAGTGAGATTGGATGGTTTGAAAATTGGTGAATTAAAGGCATGAAGACCTCATTATATATAGTGGTGAATGGAGTGTGGAAAGGGCTACTCTATTATTACTTTTGTTGGTTTCTAAAAAGAATTTAAAGACTCTACATTGTGTTGAGTGTAGAAGAATTAATTCCGGTTAATTCGCGACTAAATTGAATCTCATAGAATATTTGTTACATAGTAAAATCGTAATTAGATAAAATCTTTATTTTATTTTATTAAACATTATCTATCCTACACATAGAGCTTCTAAAAATTTAATACACATCCACAATTTTAGAGATATATCAAATCACAATATCTCTTAAAAGAGATGTTAGGGATCAAATTATTAGAGGTTAATTAAATAAAATGATGTTCTTTAATGTACATATTTGTGTATGGTACAACACCTAATACATTTGTGTATCATAGAATTAATTCAAATTATATATAGTAAAATATGAATTAGAGGTTGACTTATGTTGTTCATAGGTGCATGAAAATATGACTTAAACCTTAAAATTTTGATAGTCCATTACACAGCTATCCCTCCCACCCTATAACACAGGCTTAATTGTTTCCTTAAATGTGCATAGTTGCAAAATTATTATTTGGCAGATGGCATGTTAGGCAGTATGACAGAGATTACATCTATTCATGAAGATATTTTGTCATGTACATGATAGGTACTTGAAGGGTAAGTAGTAGTAGTCAGTTTTCATGTATTATTTGTCATAGAAATATGCAACTTTTATCGTCTTCGTAATTAACAAATTGAGGTTTGATTGTCAAGTAGCATCATGCCATTCAAATTGAGGGGTGGTGCGGCAAAAAAGGAGAGAGGGTCACCATTATTCAAAATTAATCACAGCCTCCATGCGTGGTGATCTTAGTGGATAATAATAAGGGATGTGTCATGTAAGTGGGTACCTAAAAATTACCCATGAAATTCTTTAGTTAATAATAATATAGATATCAATTCAATAGATACAGTAGGTGTTCGCGGTGTAGTTTACGCGGTTTTGACGTTAAAAGTTAATCTTACTAGTTGATTAGAATCTGTAAGATGGCCGAATGATGATCTTCATGCGAGTTGGAAAATCGAAGAGGAAAAATGAGGGTTGTACCTACAAGGCACTCTTAACAAAGTCACTATTTTATGGCCATTTTTCACTAAGATCCAAATTGATTCAGAAAAACTCACAACATGAAAGTTGTAGATCTTGATTCAAGCTTTTCAAAATGTCCAAGAACACAAATTTATCATACTTGAGCTATAAGTTTTGAAGAGATGAAGATGACATGTCAAATTTAAATTATAAGTCATTTTTGTGATGAACTCATAATCAAATCTCATAGCCATTCCTTGTAATCTCACTTTGCAGGTCTCTAAACCTCCAAATCTATCCATAATCAGAAGATTACACACACTTTTGAACCATGATCCAAGTGATTAAAGCTTTATCCAATCTATTTTGCCATTTAAGAAAGAAAGGTCACACTTACATTCTAGTAAAACATGCTTTATACACAATGCCAACTCTCCTTGAGCCTCTAAACTGTTGTCTCTACACAAACACAATCCTAACATCAAAAGCAACTCCTCTAAAAGATATCAACCACCCTAGAGGAGTTGTACTATGCCTTAGCACCATGATTTTCACAAAACTTGGTTGTTCCATTTCAACCAAACCATAACTCTTCAACTTGACAACCTGACTTTCTCATTACCTCCAATCTTTCCCTATAAATAGAGACCACCTCTCATTGCTAAAGGCACGAATTCACAGCTTCAAAACACCCTCATACTCTGTAAAATTCTGAAATTTCTCCAAAACTCCACTAAAGCTCCAAAAAGACCATTTCTTCGAAATTCTTCACCATTGTCATATCTTTGCAAGTTAATCATCCTAACACTTCATAAACATCATATATAACTCATCCTTACCCTTGTTACACACATGTAACATCATCATCACCATCCTCCAAACTCCATAACCGAAGCTTGCAACTTGACTTGGTTGAGGAGATTCAAACACTTTCAGCACAAAGTAAGGATTGCAACACACTCACAAGGTCCAAGGAAGCATTTGGCATCATTTATTTGCACTTGGAAGCATCCATATGTGTTCTGAGTTTTCACTTCAAGAGGTAAGTTTTCCAAACTGTGATATCTTGATACAAGCATCATTTGCAAATACGTTCTAAAGCAAAAATGTAGACATCATGTCTCTAAAGCTAACCATGTCCTTATTTCTCATTCAAATTAACTGTGTGAAGAGAATTTTGACTCTGAATTCTTAGGGTTCATTTTTGGTACCAATAGAAATTCTCTCTAATCTTTGAGTTTCAGCTTGAGTGAATTACATGGTTGAATTCGTGATTGAATTTCAAGCAAGTTTGGTGTTTACATTTTTTAAAATGGTTGACAAATGAAGCTTTTGAAAGAATCAAATATGTTTTTTTTGTTGTTAGTGCGAGGAAGAAGAAGAGGTGGGAATTTTAAATTTAAAAAATGATTTTATAATATATTTACTGGGGGCGTTTCATAACCGGATGAAACAGCCACCCCAGTGGTAAAGCAAGCGCGCTATGACCTTAGGAACTTGGATTTGAGCCCTAGTGGTATCCTTTTTTTTTCCACATATTTTTTGCAGATTCAACACACTAAACCTATGCAAGTACATGGTGCATCCTTCTCGTCATCACCCTTGGATCTCTCAAAGATCCAGATCAACGCGCTAGAGCTTGCGTGCCTACGGTGGACCTACTTAGAGAAACATGCTGGATCTCAGGCAGGTGGACTGGGTTTACATGATCTGGGTCCAACGTTTCTGTTTCTCACACCCCCAGATTTTCTTCAACAGGCCCATTCTCTTATTTTTTTTAAAATTATTTTACTTTAACTCTTTTTAACATAATTAACTCTTTTCTTAATTAATTTAAAATCAATTTAAAATTAGATTTTTAATTAACCAAATTAATTCTTTCTTTTAATTAACTTAATTAATCTTTTTTAAAATAAATTAATTTCTTTTAAATCAAAATTAAATAGGTTTATTTTAGTTTTTTATTTTAACTAATAGATCTTTTTTTCTTAATTAAAATTAACTTAAGAGTTTTTTTTTACTTTCTAGGTTTTAATCAATTTCCTTTTTTCTAAACTAAAATTAATCAAATAATTAGGTTAATCATCAAATTTTTTTCTATAAAACAAATCATAAAAAACAATTTCCTTTCTCTTTTATTTATTTTACATTTTTGCGTATTTTATTATTTCGCATTTTTCTAATTATTGTAACTGCTAACGGTCTGTAATAGATAATTAGGTTTACTTTACTTTTCATCCCCATTCATAAATTTGTACCCCCATTCCTAAAGCCTTGTAATAGCGTAGAATATTTAATTTCCGCAATTTACTGCTTTCCTTTAACTACTAGATTAATTAGGCGTGTATGACAAGATCTAAAACCAAACATTAGAAAACCTAATCTCAAAGATAAATACTTCAAATCTAATCACTATTCACACACACACACACACCTCTAGGGTAAACTCACATGTTGCCTTCAGATAAAACAGTCATGTCCCTCGAACGTGGGACACTTTAGCAAAGATCCTCGATTAAAATAGATCATAGTCCCTCGATGACCCTTCAATGTTGCCTTCGGTAAACGATTTTAGTCCCTTACGACAATTTATTAAGCGTCCTACGAGTTGCCTTCTACGATTGTATGATGACCCGCGTCTGTCCCTCACATCCAATGATAAGGCTTCCTATTAACTAATGGTAGGGTAGCATTATCTAAAGGATGAGGAAAAGAACAAAGACTTTTTTAAGTAGGTAGAACGCTCGTAATTGCTTGCTCATAAACTAAAACAATATTCACACCTCACACTTTCCAAACCAAACACTTTCATCCAATAAATATTTTCAAAACAAACATTTTATGTACATTCTCAACGATGTGATAATCATTACAAAATTTCCGCACTTAGGCATTTTTAAAATATTTTCAAACATACACAAACACAAGGCATTTCAAAAAGCAAGCTAGCGATTAAGAGCCCGTAGATAACTACGGATGAAAAGGGTGCTAACACATTTCCTTTTCATAACCTACCCCCTTACTCAGAAAATTATCAAAAGGTCTTTCATGTTCTTTTCATCCTTTCCTTTATTGGATAAAAGAAAAATCGGTGACGAATCTTACTATCAGCAATATTTGCGATAAAACGCAAAACCAAAAGTCTGTTCTCCCACCGTATTACACTAAGTATATTCTAATACAAGAAAACTACCACACCAAGTATAATCTAAATCGTTTAGTTCAAAAAGAAGTCTTTATCTAGTTAGAAGACTTTGACCACATCAATAAATCCTTAGTCTTTCCTTTAAACTCACATTTGGATCTCATTCTAATCACAATTTCAACACTACCATTCCTTCATATGGCTGGTGGTAGAACTCCCATGTTTCTCCCTAACTCGTGTCTATAATTTTCCGTCATATCCATGATTCCAATCCTTCTTGAATTTATCTTTCCTCTAGCATTACTTCTCTTCTCTTCAAAAACTATCATCTTGTAATCATCCTTAATCGGCATAAGTTTCATCTCCATACACTTATCTAATACATTCACATCCTTACTAATGTTAAACATTTCATTCCCTTAACTCATTCACTAACAACATATCTCACTTGACCTCATCTCAAGTGTGATATGGTGGGTGAACTGACTTGAGGTTTTGCGTTTGTGTTTGCAAATGTTTCGGTTTAGCAAGAGTCGCCACCGACTTTTTATTTTATCCTAAGGAAAGGTCAAAAAGCACAAGAAAGACCTTTGAGATGTTTTCTTGGGTTCGGGGAGTAGATTATGAAAAGGGAAGGTGCAAGCACCCTTTTCATCCATGATTATCCATGG